AATCAAGAAGAAAGACTGCAGCTGAAGTTTCAATATTATCTTCTAGTTGCTATGGGCAACTTATAGTAAAGTAGAAGTAGCATTTCTTATATGTTTGCTACCTGGACATCCGGGTACGTCTGAGTCTCTGTCTGAAAATCCAGGTACATCTGAGTGTGACTCTGATTAGTGAACTCACCGGATGAGCCGACTACCAGGGCCACAAGCTCTGGGTAAGGGAACATTTTAGAATTTCAAGAGAAATCATGACCAATTAGGAACTACATATCATATTTGATTTTAAACTATTTTCAAATTATTTATAAGCCAGTTCTGTAAGTCTGGCTTTTAACTAGACATATTTATAGCACTTAGTTGAAATTTCATCTGTCATTTAAACCCATTTGCAAAGGGCTGATCTAGATGAAAGCACAGTGACCCAACTACTTGCATTAAGGTTTGGACGCAGAGTATGAATATTCAGCGTATAGTAGAGGCACAGATTCGTATCTCAAGATTTATTTCCCCTAATCTGTTTACTACCAAATAGTGTTTTTAAGTTTATGGGAAATTCAGATTTTATGTGCTTAACAATTGCGTGAGAATCATAAATCAATAAACATGTAAGATTTAATCGAATCACTAGTAAAAATTAATTATTTTAAACTAATAATGAGGAAAAAGGGGAATGAAAAAAATTTACAGGCTAAACTTCAAGATGTTGTTTTTGAAAATAACATTGTTCATTGTTCTGTATTTTAAAAGCCAAACTCCTACACTGGAATCATTCACACATTATCTCTGTGAGGAATTGATACATTTTCATATAGCTAAAACAATGAATTTTTATTTACTCACGCAATTTTGAACTGAATAAAATGTCATTGGGACAAAAATGAGAAATACCTATATGTTTACAATAGTTTCTAAAATACAAAAGTATTTTTTTATACTTTCAAGTAGTCATTTCTAAGAAATATATTTTTTTTAGCTGTCAAATGTATATGGACAATTTATAATCAAACTCAAAAAGAAAGTGGACATTATGGAGGTTTGTGAACGAATCTCCAGGTTGGCAGCATATGGCTGCTCAGGCTGTGCACTGCACAACTCCGAGGGGCACCATCTACTGCACTAAAAGATGAATTATGCCGGAGTTTTATAGCAAAGCAGCCCTCTAACTTCTTTCCAAGTAAGCTATCACTCTTACTCACTTTTCTTCTTAATATTGGATGAGTCATATAGCCTCTCACAGAGTGGATACACTTGAAAAACTTTATTAGAGTTATTTCAAATAATATGAGAAGTTTCATATATTCACAATACCAAATTCTCTGTGTTTAATATCTTTCATTTAATAGGACGAACACTTATTTCAAAATTAATTAATCCCCCATGACCCACACTTCGATATTGCTTCTGTAGATTAAATGTATAAAAACCTCTAAAAATATCATTAATTTTCAATGCATTTCTGAGAAAAAATATCAGATAAACTGTTGAATGAAATAAGGCTTGCTGATGTTAACCTGTACCAGCTAGGACTTTCTGACAAGTTGCACAGTGATGTCTCTGTAGCATTTTATATATTATTACTTTCCAACTCTGAAAATAGAATTAAAACCACTTGGAGACAGAAATCAAGGACTCTCATCTCAAATCCCTGTTCCTCCACGCGCTCACTCTGCAATGTGAGGTTATTTAAGATCAGCAAGTTTCAGTCCTTTAGCAGCAGAGGGGACAATATCGCTCTCGCCGGCTATTGGAGTGATAAACGATTTCTGTATTTGAAAGACGAGATGCCGCTGAATAAATGTTACTTTTCTTTCTCTTTCCTGGATCTTACACGACAGGATTTTTAATGAAACAGCATCTAATGTAATAACTGATTTACTTTTTTTTAAGTGGAGGCTTAGACATGCTTTTATTAATATACACTTATTAACACTTAAGGTAACCAAAATCCCAAATTAGTGTCCCTCCTACTCACTCTTTCAAGATCACTTAGAATAAAGAATTGTACAAATTACAACCATGTCCCTTTTGTGTTGCTTAATTGTCATGAGTTCAGAAAATTAGTCATAGAAACAAATTTGGTTCTTTATTTTAGGTTAAAACACTTTTTCCTCCTGAAACATTTGCAAAAAGTTTATAAATTAAGAATTATACTTTTTCATGAAATTAGTGATTGGTCTAAAAGAATACGTAGGAACAAAGTGGGGCCATCTCACCACCCTCTCTGTCACCCTGACAGATTTGTACCCTTGTGTGCCATGTTAAATGAACAAAGGTTGGCTGAGAGTTGAGCCAAACTCTTCTGAGCTTTAGGGAAGTTGTGGAAACTCTTTTTATCAACTTGGGTACCATTTGTTAAATTATTTCCTCCATGTATTAAATGATCTCAGAGGGTAAACCTTCATATGATTATATAAGTTTTGACACTTTGGGAGAATACTGCTTTATATGTGAAAAGTAGATAAAGCCAAATTTTGCTTTGGTGACCTTCGATCAATTCTACATATATTGCTGCAAAACCTGGCAATGTTCTAAGATGAAACTTTTACTTCTGTAGATGAAGCAGAGTTATGCAGAGTATTTTAATTGTTCATGTATAAACACTGAAAACATGCTATCTTTACACCAAAAAAGTCAAGTAACATTTGTCATCATAACAAAAGACTATGTGACTACGTATCTTTTTATGGCAGTTTACCTGGATTTGCTACTTTTTAATATTTAAACTATTTAAATGTATACTAGTCATTATTACTAGGATGCAGTTTCTTGGGAGTGTTCAGTTACCTAGAAAGCACATACGTAATAAAGTCACCAATGTGTGTTTGGTGTGTGTCTGTGTGTGATTTAAAATATTTTAATACTGCAAATCTATTTTTTTAAACGTTGTTTAAAGTGGTTTAAAAATAGTTAAGCTATTCTAGTTAGCTAACCCTGCTGCTGACTCACCACTAATCGATTTACCAGCAATCATTTCATCCCTAATTACTAAACTATTACTAAATATCAAAAAGTAATTGAGATCGTTAATTGCCTTACATACCGTGTTAGTTTTCCATATCAAAGACTGAGAATCACTGCAATAGTTTAAAGTAGCCTGTTCATTCTCTTTGCTGTCAAGGATTTTTTAAAAAGCACTGACAATAGCAGGCATTACCACAGTAACCTAATTCCTATTTTTTTTCCCTAAATTAGCATGAAAATTATACTTTTCATTGTTTCCTTAGATTCTCAAAACTTTATTATACTATGCGATTTTTTGGCCGTGTTCCCCTGTACACACGTAACATAATGATCATCTGATTGATTCTGTAAGCGTGATTGCAATTGTATGTTGCATTTGCATTTCCTAACACAGAAGGCTGCACAAAGACCTAGCACCCTTCTAACTCTTCACTCTTCCAGAGGATTAAGACACCTTTTCTGCTAGTGAATTTCTAAAAAGCTAAGCCATTTTGAAAAGTTTGAAAGACTAAGTCATTTTAAAATCAAATGAGTAAAAATAACTTTATGGTGAATGCTCTGGTTCGTTCAGCTCATTTAATAAGATCACAAAATAGAACATTAAAACTCTACAGTCTGGTGATAAAAAACCCATTTATTTTACACCGTGGGCAAAGCAGATAGCAAATTAATTTTAATGATTACTTTTAATATCTATGTTCTTATATCTCTGTGTGCTTCTTGGTGGTTAATAATGGAAACTATAATGAAGTGTATTAATATAAAATATTAATGACTATTTTTCATCTGATTTAGCATGTTTTGCATGTCTAGTAGAGTTATTTTGTTCAACACGCTGCTTATTTGCTCTGTTATGAAACAGTTGAATTAGAAAAAAATCTACTGAAATGAGTGCGGCATAGTGTCCTTTTTTTTTAATCCAGAAGGAACAGATATTATAACATTTGACACTTGGGTCGCCCACGTGCACCGGCAGGTGTCCCGTCTCTTACCTTGCTGTCTCTGGAAGCAGTAGCACCACTCGTTGTTGGATATCAGGCTGTCCTTGTACGTGTCACAGGAGTTGAAGAAGGCCTTGGTGCACTGCTCGTTCTTGTCAAGGTAGATGCTTCCCAGCTCCGACTGGTCCAACAGCAGGTCATAGTTTGTATCAAGTCTGTTAAACATCCAGCCGAGTGAATCCTTGCAAATTGGCAAGATACTGGTATCGAACCCTAAAGGCAAAGGCAGAAAATGGCTAGTTAAATAAGAAAGATGTCACAAGCAGAAAGCAAAACAAGTTAGCGTAGCAGGCAGTCAGGGTAGGGACCTACGGACCAGTCAGAGACGTAGGGCATCAAATTCATCTTGAGCAAATTGTTTCAAAGTCAAGTGGATATATTAATATCTGCCTTTCAGAGTAGTTATGAGAATTAATTAAGTAGGAAGCATCTGGTACTAATTAATCATTCATTCAGTGGCAGCTACTACTGTAATTGTACATTATTTCTATTATTTTATTGTTCAAGCTTCTCCTGAATAAACAGTAGGTCATGATAAATGTCTATTAGACATACATAAATATTTTTAAAGAATATCCTATTAATAAAAAGCTAAAATTAATTTTCATTCCAGGAAATGAAAGTACCATTTTAGCAAGAGCATAGTTAACACATAGTAAGTGATAACTTGAACGGTGCCCTGTATCTTGGGAGAACTATGGTGACTGATATTTCACATGAACCTGATGGTCACAGAAACCCTGTCGTGATTCACGGAGCTACTGTGTCTTCTGCTCCCCTCAAGGCAAGTTTTACAGCTGCACGTGTGTTACGACGGCAGGCGGGGTACACTGGACGGAGGGTACAGAGCGACGTATCCAAGCCAGGTACTGTCGAAGACGGTTTATCCAGGTAAGCTCCAGAACTCGGTAAGGCTCACCCTAAATAGCATCGGATGCAAGATCAGCGTTTTGAATGATTTAAAAATATTTGCTTTCAACAGTCTTTACTTTTCAGGTTTCAGCAGGCTTTAAATGTTTTTGTCCATGTAGTTTTCATCTTATTTGCTATTTTCTACTCATTACGAGTGAAAGTAAACTAATAACTCAGTTAAGTAGCATAGAAGAAAGGATGTGTTTGAAGACATGGAGACTTCTGAAAA